AGCTAAGGCACCTAGCTGAGCTCTAGTAAGGGCTAATGATTTCCTGAATTTTTAGACTGTATGCATATTTATAATATATATAGTATGTCTATTATTATAATATATATATTAGTAGTAATTGTATGTATTAGAAATATATATGTGCCACTGTGATGAGGAATCCTTTGGTACAATGCTTCTTAGATTAGGCAACAAAAAACAAAGGATCTTGCTAACAAGCAGCACAAGCAGACAACACATGCCTATACCCTGGCACCTTTTTATTTATTAATATCAATTCAGCATCTTTGCAGAAAGATACTTCAAGATGCATTGGAAAGGAAGACATCTTGAATAAAGCATAACTGACATGACCCTGGCAGAGGTAATGCTAAGTAATTGCTGTTATGAATATGAGGCTCTACAGAATTGCTTCTTCACGGTCATACAGCACTGAGAAATTATTCTTGCAGGCTTGAATTTTCTGCATTCAGGTCAGACAGGAATCTCAGAGCAACTGCACAAACATGGCTGCACCAAGGGTGTAGATGAGCCTCTGTTTTTTTGTGTATTTGGTAAAGTTGTGCAAAACTCAGCAGTTTTCAGGCTCACTGGCAGCTTCTTTGAAGTTTTCCCCTGTTCTAAGCTGTGTATGAAGTTGAGTTTGGAGTTTGAGCAAACCCAGCATTTCTGAGCCCTTCATGGGGACTGTCCTGTGCTTCAGATGAGACGCACACTTAAAGATCTTGAAGAACTGGGACTTGGTGGGAAAATATCAGAGAGAACTGTGAGCTTAAAGTTTTAAAACTGATTTTGCTCGTATTTGACCTGTGCCAGCCTGTGAACCCCAGTCAATTATTAATGTTAAGCAAGAAACATTGCAAGCAAGTAGAGATCATGATTCCACATTTACCAGAGGCAATTTATTCCTAAAAAACACTTTCTTTTACCCTAAAGTAGTAGATGTTGGATTCTAATAGGTATCAGATTTTACAGCCCTTTAGAAAGGGCCTAACAAAGGTTGTTCTGATAACGTATATTTATGTGATTTCTCTCACTTTTTTCCTGATCACAAAAGTTCTGTTTCTTTCTGGCATCACATGGCATAAGCATATAAGTATATGTATAAAATCTCAACATTTCATATTGTTGGGAACAACTTTTGGTGCTTGAAGACAGAATTTCTTAACCTCTTCTTGTGATGGTAAATCTATATGAAACTTTATGGGATTACTGATGGTCTTGTGATCAAAATCCAGATCATATTGAATAATGGCTGGAAAACACAAAGTCATGCTAAAATATTCAAAGTCCTTCATCAGAGGTTCTTGTTTAAGTCTACAGACTGCCTTTCCCAAAAGTAATTGTAATCTCAGTCTGGAGATTTATACATCACTGACATAGAGAATTTATTGTGATTAATCCTACAGTTCTGGAACACAGATAGAAATGAAGATGAAAAATTCGTTGTTGAAAAAGCATATCATGAAATTTATAATGTTTTTATGTAGTTCCTCATTCAGATTTATACTTTTTTTTTTTTTTTTTGGGGGGGGGGGGGTCAGAGCACTAGCAACTCCTGGCTATTTTGTTCATAAATAAGACTAATTTTGTGTGCATAGTCAGAGTCAGTCACTTATTAGGACAGTCCAAATAATCTCTAATTATTTTAGGCATTATCAGAGTATTCGACAGTGAATATGGTGAAGGTGTCAAATATTTCTCTGACATACAGTTGCAAAACTATCTATAGACATAAATGCTTCATATGCGTTTCTAATTCACTGTAATCAATAAGGACAACATGTTCTTTCAGAAATCTAGTTTTAGATGAAGGCCTATGATCAGGGATGTGGAGGCCAATGCATGTTGAAGATTCGAATTCTTAGCTTGCTGTTAGGTTGACACTGCCAACATTTTTTAAAGAAACCTTTCCCTTCAGGTGTACAATGACAAACAGCTCCTTATGCTTGTAGCCAGTAGGAGGCTGTGCTACGCCTAAGACAGCAGTGCCTGCTGTTCCTGGGTTACAAGGACCTTCTCCTTGCACATGAGTTTCTCCCTCATCTCTCATCCTCAACTAATCCTCAACAGCAAATGTCCTGTGACAGGGCTTGGCTCAGTCTGAGGATCATCCCGCAGAGAATGACAGACAAACCAAGTGATCATTGAAGAGGAATCTCTGTTGACTCAGAAAATAATCAGTTCTCCTTGAAAACATATGAGTTAAATTCTCACATCTTCTCTGCCATCTGAGACAGGTTTATTTGCCTTCTGTGATATTTAATCAAGAAGGCAAGTTGTGGTAGAGTGATAGACAACGAAGCTCTGAAGACTGCCACAAGTAGGAGATGAGAATCGTTGGTTTTTTTTCTGGCTCACACTAAATTTAGGTATTTACAATATAAGCGAGTGTACATGTGTACCGTTTGGCTCAGATCCCAAGATCTAGACTAGACTTATCAGTCAATGGAGTTTAGAGATAAATTTGTCATATGGTAGATGTTTATGTTTATGAATTGCACTGCAGATTCCAATGGCTGAAATAAGATCCCTATGGACAATGGCAGGAGGTTATACACCTGGCTGAAATAGAGACGCACATGTCAATGAGTAGAGTTAGAGGTCTGGTTCAGCAGTTGGACGTGACTTCAAGTTCTGTGCAATAGATGGAAAAAGTACATGGTCTCAGCTCAGCCTATGGGTCTGGCAGCACTCAGCATTTCCCAGGCACACATTCGAGAGACAGCAGTCCTATTTAAGCCCAGGGAAGCATCTGTGAAGGATCAAGACCTCTACTTTTCCAGATACCCATCTACAGTCCAATGCTTATTGCCTACAGCAGGTATAAAAGAAAGTACTTACTGATCCAAGAAGCACATACAGAAGCCTTGTACTCCAACCCACTGAAGTCAGGCAGAGAAAGAAGGATGGAAGCTGTACCAGTTGACAGCAGTTGTAGCTGAAGCTGCCAGCATTTTACCCCTATTGCCATTTCTTTGAACACAGGAATCCCTGGCGATTAGGTATCCTCTATCCTACTTACTCAGTGTGCATGTAATGGGCCTGCAGAAAAGAAGGCTGTGGTGTGACCTCATTGCAGCCTTTCAATACCTAAAGGAGCCTACAGACAAGAGGAGAATTGACTCTTTGAAAGGGTTGATAACAGAAGGATAAGGGGAAATGGTTTTAAGTTGTGGGAAGGGTGATTTAGGTTTGATGTCAGGGGGAAATTCTTTACAGAGTGGTGAGGTGCTGGAACAGCTGCCCAGAGAGGCTGTGGATGCCCCATCCATCCCTGGAGGTGTTCCAGGTCAGATTGGACGGGGCCCTGAGCAGCCTGGGCTGCTATAAAATGTGGAGGTTGGTGGCCCTGCATGGCACAGGGGGGGGTTGGAGCTTCATGATCCTTGAGGTCCCTTCCAACCCGGGCCATTTTGTGATTCTGTGATTCTGTGAATCTTTGAATTAACTATTTTTCCACAAGCCTAGGTAACTCATTAAGATCCTTCTTTGAACATTCTGTCTAAATAAGTATGTTTTCTTTAATATGCAAGTGTATTTAAGTGTTTTGGAATAAAAGAGAAAGTATGCATAGAGGTAGGTGGTGTGTGCCTGTGTGTGCACATCACTGCATAAGAATAAAATTGAGGTTGTCTTAGTGTGTTCATATATGAATAAGGCAAATACAGCTCTATGCAAGCGTAAAAACGAATGTGTATATTTGTGGACCAGGCATTACCCCAGCCTTCTAGCCTTGATGAAACACATAGGTAGAAGAAGTGGATGTTTTGGATGCCATTCAAAGCCTGAGGGACTAAAAATTAGGTACCATATCACCTAGCTGGTAGGTTTCTGATGTTCTATCAGAATCTTAATAACTAAAAGATGTTGGAACACTGGGGCATAGAAGCTATCTGCCCATCCAATGAACGGAGTGTATCCCATCTCACTGCACTAAAGAATATGCAAGATCAACCTGGAGTTTTATAGTATTAAAAAACCTGCTTAATATTTTGGTTTACAAACTGCCATATACTCTTCTCTGTGATCCAAGCAATGGCAGAAGAACCTCTAGGATATTTAATCACATATCTTTGATAAATCTCTTAGATAATCTCACTACTTCAGTATAGCCCTATGGAAAGGCTTTTACCATCACTTGTGTATCTAGCACACAACATAAAGTGAAAACATGAAAATGTGCAGTAACACCTGGGCTAACAAATCGTGCAAATCGTATGCTGTCCACATGCTTCTATCCATAATTTGGATAAAATTCCAATGAAGTATGCCATTGGAGTTCATATACAGCAAATCTTCAGCTTCTTAGCTTCTTAGGCTGTCACAAGAACTGATCTATGTACGTCTACATGTTTATAGCACTCTCTGGCACAGTTTAGGTCTGGGCAAACTTCCATTCTATCAGACCATTCCAAGGTGCTGTTCAGGAGCCTGTATAGCAAGACCATTCCCAGCAAACAGTGTGCTTTGAGGCCAGTGTGGTTTGGAGGCTGAAGTATCTATAAGCTATATAGAATAGGATGATCGCAGTGACATAATCTCAAATGGATTTACAAGCATAGACGAAGCACTGGGACTATTTAGAAAATTAATAAGGATGCAGCTGAATTGTTCCTCTATTCATTGGTATTTTAATTCATCTATATAGCCAATGCAGCAGAGAATGTGTATTTCCACACTTGTGGACCATCTTCATTCTCTCTTGATTTAGCTTGTGATTTGGTTCACATCTAGAGATAAGGATATTGGGCCAGTAGATATTGAAAATGACTGACTCACTTACCCTTGCAGTAGGGTGAATACAACCAGCTGGAGGTACTTTGCTGGGTAAGTATAAGCTTCTAGCCGGCACAGGTAACAAACAGAATATAGACAATACTGCAGTCCATATGTAGACATATAGACTTAAGTAAGGAAACAAATACAGTTATATCTTCATACGTAGTATTTACAAAAATGACATATTTTGGGTAATTGATCTTCTTTTAAAATCATACCTGAAATGTGTTAAATGTCTCTGGATGTCAAGGTCTAGTATTGGAGTCGGTCTGGAGGATCCAAGGGGTGACCTGTCTTGACTGAGAAGGTCTTGGAATTCTTTACATATTTGTCTAAAAGGAAAGCAAATAACCTTAAATGAGGTAGGGCTAACTTTATGAAATGGTGATCCCCATAACTGCCACTTTATACTGGGTGATCTCATTTGTAACAAATGCTTGGCAGAGGTAGTGTTAAAGAAGTTAAAGACAAATTAATCTTCCTTCACCTCCTTGTCCCAAATTCCCAGAGCAGGCAACATATAGAATCTCTTGAAGAGGAATAATTCATCTCTGAAACCATGCTAGGATTAATATATACCATTAATGAAGACTGCTGGTAGGTAGGACCTATGATCCCAGTTTCAGCATCTTGCAATGGGAGCTCAGGATGTGTCTTGCCTGACCTCCCAGCAGTCTAAGGTCTTTAAAAAGGATAGTAAGTCTATCTTCCCTCTATCTCCTTCTCAAGATACCTCAGCACTAGGGATATCCTTATATAGGACCTAACAATAAAATATTTTAATACTTGTGATATTATTTTATTGGGCTAACTTGTCAATTACTCAATGCATGCGCTATTAATTCATTATAAAAGAGAAAAGGAAGGAAGAAAGGAGGCTGATCCATGCCCTCAGAAGAATGCTATCGGAACCTTGGATGGCAAGAAGTCACGTCCTTTCAATTGGTTTATGATACAGTTCTGTAGGCTAAAAAAGGAGAGATGTCCAAATGTCTGTCTCAAGACTTCTTTGATTGGCCCCTTTCCCACTGAGTGTATCAGGAATACAGGTACTTAACACGAATTCAGAAGGGGCACAGTGCCCTCCAGATAATCTGGACACTCAGCTATGTTGCCTGATACTAGCTTAATACTCAGCTGGTTTGTGCTTACTATGCCTAAACTAGTAAACTAAATGTTGCCAGGGGTTGTTCTCACATCCTCTGACCCACTGGCATTATCAGATAAGGTTCATATGATTTTTCTCCTAAAGAATGTGACCGCATCAAAACAGATTCCTGAAAATGGATGCTGGTGTAGATTGTCTCCCACAACATGCACAGAAGATACTGCAAAGATCAAAGAAGCAGTTTAACATTTTAATAATAGATTATTAAATCTCAACTTATGCCACAGGGTGTGCATCATTTACTTTGTGTCTGAGCCCATGTTTTAATACTGAAGAGAACCTCTGTGGTATGATTTCTGCTAGCATACATTTGCTTTGCATATCTGATCCTACATAGAGTTGAAGTTCTTCATCACGACCTTGTAATGGCTGTCCTTTGGGCCAGAGACATAACAGAAATTAAGCAGGTAGTCTCAGCTTTTTGTTCTTTATTGTGTTTCTCCTTGGCCCTGTTACAAGTAAGGAAAGTCTGCTAACTTGTTTTTACTCTTCATTATATCGCTGTTCTACCAGATTTGAACACAGACAAAGCACGGCTATATCCTAAGAGGAGAAGAAATGCAGAAAGCTATTTCCCACTGTGACACTGGACTTCATCCAATCCTGATTTCTCTAAACACTTGTCATCAGCATGGACTCAGACACTGCTTGAAAAGACAGCATCGTCTTAGCCTTTCAGGCAAAGAGATGTATTCAGCAGAAATGTATGTAAATGTGGCATACAGTTTTAATGAATCAGATCCTTAGAGGAAAAACAGTTCCTTTCAACAACTGAAAACAGTCAGTCATTTTGGCTTCTAAACAATCTGCTATCCCCAGTCGGCCCTGTCAACACCGTTCCTCTCTCCTTCCTCCAACCTCTACTTTCTACCTGTTGAAAAAGTTCATCTTACAAGTTCTTATATTTTGACAAAGAGAAGTGTCAGAACCAAGTGTGCAATTAAGTTCCCTTCCATCTTCACATGTCAAAAGTCTTTACTGAGTGTTGCAGATTGAAAGAAGAAAAGTTTTTTATTATACATGAAAACCTTTAAAAGGCAGTAACCTACTTTTGCAAGGGGATTTTTACTCAAAGTGCCTCCACTACCAACAAAACATTACCTGGGTAGTGACAGGGAGAAGGGATGACAGTTGTGTACCATGATGGACTGTGACTTTGCATGAAGAAAGAAAGATGATTAGAGATTAGCTGTGTCAAGATTCTCAGCTAAAAAAAATAAAAAATAAAAAAATAAAAATAAACAAGGTAGAGAATCCTGGACACTTCTGCAAGGGAGGCAACTAATGATTTGTGATAGATTGGATGGTCTGGTATATGATCAGAAAAAGGTAAAAAAAAATCTGTGCTGGGTCAGACCAAGAGCTCATCTAGCTCATGATTCTGTCCCTAACAAGCTTATCCTTTCAGTTCCTAGTCAGAGTGCTTCATTCTGCCTTTGCTGTCACTTGTGTTCTGCGCTGCATATTGGCTACAGAGTCCATCTCTTCTTCCCACGATAATTGTCAGCTAGGGCTCTGAGTTTTCATTGTCTAGACCATCAGATTGTTAGAATAGGCCATAGCAATACCTTGTTGCATCAAGTAGCACTGTCCTAAGCAGATCTTGGTGAGCAAATGTGAAGAATCATTTTTGAGAGGTAGTTTTAGAAGGTCAAGTAGTTTAGCACGATGGACAGAGCCATTGAAGTGGCTGTTCTGTGGAAGAACAGGCCACTAAAAACCGTCTGTTCCATAGCAGAAGATATTCCTGATCTCATTCATTGTACTACTATCAATATAGCCTCGGATCAGGTAGAAATGAGTGGGTTGGTGAACTGAGTTACTTCAGGTTTGGTGCCCTGCCTGGGTTAAGGAGGGATATTGGTGTCCAAAGAAGCAATCTGTAGTCTTTATTAGCACATGGATCACAGTTATGTACATGGAAGAGATGCATCTGCTCAGGATGGACGGGCTGCATGATTGCAAGATATAGATGCTCCTGATAACACATAGAGCTTCTACCAGACAATGGGGATTTCTACATTACAGTTATCAAGGGATCTGTTTAGATGCTCACATATGGATATGTAGTATGTAAGACGTCCATAAGAGATAGAAAATGCAATACAGTAATGAAAAGATGCTTATGAACTTTTGGAGCAGTTACTAAGCTGGATTACCAGTTCATCTCAAATGATTGTAGGTACCAGTGCTTGGGCAAGCTAACCCAAATCTCCAAAGTTGAATGTCTGAATCCAGCACAGAATTCCACCTTATACATATATATATATATATATATATACCAGGAATTGCAGAAATAATTTTGTTATTTCCCCTTATTTTTCCTTAAAAATCCAAATGTAGAAGATCTAGCCAGTTCTGCCAAAGGAATGCTTTTATGGCTCTGTCTCAATTGAGACAGTGGCAACACATACGGAAAGTGGCACTCAATTTATTTTCATAGGCAAAATTTATTTTGAATGATTTTACCACCTTGTAATTTCATTTTCATTTTTGTTAAAGGAAGAACAATTGACTCCATTTTCAAGTACCTTCACTTGCAAGCACGAGGCAGTGGTTATGAATTTAATGATATTATAAGCTTAGATCTTATGTACATAGGTTGAATAATATACACTTATGTCAAATAACAAGGCTACTTGCTATCAGAAACGTGGAAGTATGCCTGGGAAATGCCAAGCTAGTAATAGGAAGTCATGGAACTGTGCGTCCTGCACTATCGGGGGCTGGTCTGTGCAGCTCTGTTCCCCATCCAGACAGGAGAGGGCAGTAGTAGCTCACACATTGACCCATCGGTCCCTATTAGCAAGTGCTCTGACTACAGCAGGTTCTGTCCTGGCCTTCGATTGCCGACAGAGCACTGATCAGTTTGCTCGTACTGATTAAAAGAGAGAAAAAAAAAAAAAAAAAAAAAAAAAGACCTTTTTTTCTTTACTAGTGCAGAATAAGCCTACAAGCATAAAGTTCATAGAGTTTTGGAATAACGGATGTCCATGACTCCCTATCTCAAGAGTAAAGGAGGATGGGAGAGTAGATAAGGAGTGATGAGAAAGAGTAATCAGAGTATTGTCCCTCAGTGGAGGAAGGACATGACAGCCATCCTTTGATTATTGTAATCTGCAGCAAAATGTATATCTCTCTAGAGCCAGAAAAGAGAGAAAATGATTTCTATCATTAAAGTTGAACAATGTTTTATATGTTGGGCAAACCCTTGAGCCAAGGCAATTTACATTCTTAACTCTTGTTTGTATGGTGAAGAGTGGTATGTCCAGCTCTTACAAAGTTATAGGGTGTAGATTGTTGATGGGCTATGTATCAATGGAGAGACACAGCTTGCAGCGAGGAACTACTTTTCTCTAGCTGTTTTCATGTCTCTGAAAGCCCCTGGGCGCTAAAAAATGTATGTAAGTAAGAGTAAGATTATATTTCTCTTTTATTATTCCTTTTAACCAACTTAGGAAAATGATTAAAGAGGTCTCCTCAACTTCACACCTGGTAAATTTCCCCATATCACATGGTACTCTACTTTGAGGATCATAATCTGCAGTTGTGGCATTCAAAAGCCTGAGAGGTTTCAATGCATGTCACATCTGTGTCACCTTCAGGATGAAGATCTCTGGACACAAGAGTCACAAAAGCCATACGTTCTGTTCCCCACAGACAGACCACACATAGGGACATTAAGATGCAAGGGACAATCCTGTGACTGGTCATCTCTCACCCCTAATGCAGGGCAATTCCTCTGTGTTGGATATATCTCAGCCTGAATCATTCCTATATTGGGAAAGAGATTTACAGTATCTTGGCTTCTGGACTCAGCTCCCCTACTGTATCCCTGTGTAATACTGCAGCAAGCTCAGGAGGAGTATGACTATACTCAAGGCCACCCCATGCAAGTATACCACACACCTAGTGTAGGTCTAACTTATGCCATGCAGACTATTTATTCCAATTTCCTATGGCTCACAAAGCTTAATTCCTCCTTCCTCAAGGCTAATTAACCCAGATGAAATGTTATCCTAACATGATGTTGCTGCTCCAGGGAAGTGAGTGGCTTGTTTTGAGTAAAGCCTGGTGTTTCTGAGTGTCTTTAACGGTTTTAGCAAAGCTCCCCTGCTGGTATACATTGTTCCAGTGCCTTTGACTTCAGGGAAATCTTACAACCAAAGAGGATCTGCCCCTCTGCAAACACTCCCTCATCAGACTAACGTTAGTTATCTAAGAGAAAGTAGTAGTTCAGCAGAAGCTTAGATCTCCTGCTCACACATCCTTGTTTTTGCTGTTGTACAAGCAGGAGGCAAAGCCAGGCTCTGTCCTACAGCTCTTACCATGTGATAGCGTTCTCTCTGTGTTCCCAAATCACGTCATTTTAGTATGGGAAGATGTACATCTCCCTAACTGCAGGCAAGGAGAATGCCACCACTAAAACCTTCTCATGGTAAACAAGCATTTTACAGCACCTCTGCTGAAGCTTGCTCTCCTTTTCTGGCACTGAGCAGTTGTGATGGCAGTCACCACAATCTCAGATCTTTATTCCCACTCCTCCCTCTTCCAGCCCCCAGATTCAAAATGGAAAAACAACAGACAGATTTAATTGACATTATTCCCCCTTCTTACTTTGTCGCTAGGATCATCTTTTTCCTTGCTGTCTGTTCTTTCTGCTCCATGTGCTGTCTGGCAATGTGCTCTCCTACTGCCTTGGCAGGGAATTCTGTTTCACAGGTGTAGCCGAAATCTCTGGCCAAATGTAATGCTTCCCCTGTGGGTAAACAAAACAGGTCAGTCCGTTTTTAGGATTTTAGTTTCCTTATACAATTTCTACCATTATTATAAATTAATAAATAACAAGACACTTTTAGAGACACCTGTTTCCAATCTCTGTTACTGATTTCTGTCCATTCCAACTGTTTGTGTTTTATCATCAGATGGTGACAGGCAGAAGGTAGGAAGGATTCTCCTGTTATGAGAAAATACTAGTCAAGACTCTTGGGTTTGACTACCTCCCTTGTCAATAGAACACTGGATAGCTGTGAAAGTTTTGTAAACTCATCTCATCAATATTTAAGGTGTGAAAATTGGTGAGGAGTGAGAATAAAACTTTCGGAAGAGCCAGGATTCAACCCCGACACTTCACTTTTCTACTTCTGAACAAAGAATAGCCTTCTACCCCAAGGTAGATCTGTGGAAATAGTATCCATTTCAGCATATTTTCTTGGAGTTAAATCAGCAAGCACAGTGCCTATGCCCCACAATGGAGTACAACAGAAATAACAATCCCGTTTCCAGAAAATAGACCAGACAAAATAAAAAGGGATGACAATGAAGATCACAACTGATATTTTGTTGGTAGGTATAAAACACCTTGACTAGGCTTTATGAGAAGTCTGTGACAAAGTAGGCACTGAATATCTCCCTGCATCAGCTATAAAACCTGGACTTTCCACTCCAAGCTGGATGCCAAATGCCTCTGGAAGCATCTGTCCCACTCTACTAAGTCAGAGAACCCAAAAATAGATTTTATGATTTACCAAATGCTCCGTGATCTGCATGCTGGGACTCTGACAATCCTGGCATGAGATTTAGCTGATCAAACACAGCTGACTGACGTGTGAACATCTGTGCCTAAGTTAGTCTTTTCCTGGTGGGAAATAGGTACTCTGAGATCACGCTTGCTCTTGTCTCAAAGTAGAAGGTAGAAACAGATCAGCTACCAGAAGTGTGTGTTGAAGCACATCTGTATAAAGGACTAACATGGTTGTGCTCCAGAATAACTTTGGGGTTAGGGCTTTTTCTGATCCATTTGTTTTCAGGGGTGTGTACTTGAGTGCCATCATGAATGGTGACATTGGACCCTGGCCCTTAGGAGATCATGCTGATGCCTCAGATGGACAATTAGGAGGGAGGCAAGACCTGCCACAACTTCTTTTGAGAATACTTGTAGTGAGATTAATGGAACTAAAAGAGAATATTGTGTCTTAGCTAAAACTCTACAGTCAATAGGTAGAAACTAGCACTTGAAGAACATACCCTGCATCAAAGTAGAAGGCAAATGAATCGTTTAATGTATTGAAAAGACAAGGTTAGATGGCAATTATGGAGATCTCCTGTTGAAAGCAAGGCTTTAGATAAGGTTATTCAGGGCCTTTTCCTGCCTAGGCTTGAATATTTCCAACCATGGAGACACAAGTTTTCTAAGCAATTTAATTCAGTATTATTAACTTATTTTAGTTCATTTGTTAATCACCACAAAATACTGATTTCTCCCCACTGACTACAATGGGACATGAGAAGATATTCCAATAGAGATGATGAGGGGAAACAAGTCCTCTCCTCAGCAAAACTAAGTTTGCTCTGTGCTGACCACACAAAGTCAAGGAAGATGGAAAATTTGATGGGAGAAGTGGTTTTGTGTTGCAGGCAGCACGAGGTATAATGGACCACAGGCATTGATCACTATTCTCCACCTTTTTAAGGTTTATGATGTTCCATTCTATCATTGGAGATTTTATAGGAGCTTTACCAAAAAAATATAAATATTGTTTTCATAAGGAAATACTTGATTATGTGTATATTTGACTTAACTGGACTCGGATACCAATACATGTAATACTTCCAGGCAACTTGTTTGCTGACACCAGTCAACAACTACCTTCTCAGATGTAAATGATTTTATATGCAAAAGTTGAAAATAACTCATAGATTTTCAGTATCTCTGAGAAGAATAAGAAGTTAGCAACCAACTCTGGGTTGGAAAGACAAATTGTTTCTACTTGGCTTACATATTCTGGAAACTTTTCTGAAGCCAAACAATTTTCAGTGAAAATAAGACGGATTTTAACAGTGAGTCAGAATGAAGTGGCATATAATACAACCTGACTTGTTTCTAAGACATCCATCCTTCAGTTCACCATAAGTGAGAAAGGGTAAAAATTTCAGCCGTAACTTCTAAACTTTTATTGAAGGGCATCAAAATTTCTGTTTTATTACTCCGTTTCTGTCCCTTAAATAAATGCTTAAGGACTAAATCAACAGCAGAAGCACAATTAAGTGCAAAATCGGATTTTGCTTTTCAGCAAAACTCCATTAAAACACTTGACAGGTTTGTTTTCATGTCAGTGTAGAAAGAAGACAAAAATCAAACCCTTTGAAGCTGTCATCAGGTAGAATTGCCATTCTCCAGACAGCTCTATTTTGATACAAGTTAGACTCAACTAATGACACATAGAATGTAGTCAGCAAAGCCATTGGAAAGAAAAACTTGCTTTCTTCAAGAAAACCAAATTTTATGTGATAAAATGTCAGCATTTATTTAACATGTTCAGCAGTAAACCAACTGAAATTTGAATATTTTCACATAACGTCAAAAAAGAAGGAAAAGAAAACATGACCTGCCATTAAGACAAATTCTTCCAGAGATGGTGTATGTAATTTACTAGAGTTGAAAATACATAAGTGATTGGATAATATTAGAAAATTATATAAAATTATAGGACTTGCCCTTTGTGTCGGTAGCTGAGATTGTGACTGTAACTTGGCTGCTGTAGCATGTAAAGAGAAACAGTCAAGAGCAAAAAGGAACTGTAAAGGATTTACGCATCAGCGGTGCACATAGGTAGGAAAAAAAATTTGGCTGCAGAAGTGATTGTGTGAACAAAATAAGTCCGCAAATAGTTTAAAGATTTTTAAATGTTATTTTTCTTAGTGGAAAGAGAAAACTGATGTAGATTATGAATGTAAATTATAACACTATTTAACTTCACATATAAGCACATACTTCCATGCGACGTATGGAATCAGCATTCTAAATTACAACGTAAAATTCCAGATAAAACTACAAATCCAGACATGGAAACAATGTACTGAACATGATTCATCATACTTCACAGTCAAGGCAATATGTCATTTTTGAACTTGAACTAAATAACGGGGTATTTAGAAGTGGGTTAGAAGTGGGTTGTGATGTACTTCTGTTCATAAACGTGCATGTTCAATCTCAGTGAATGGAAGTCTCTTGCATTAATCCGCAGTAAAAAAAATAAGTCTGTGGAAAGTGGTTTGCACAAAATGTCGTGGAATGCATTCTTTCCATTTCTACATCAAAATTTTGATAAACATTCACTACAGGGGAGAAAGTGGAAATGCTGAAAATGTGAACGAAGCAATTTCTCTGCTTTCACCTTAGGTTTGGAAGCATCCCTGCAGGCATTCAAGGCCAGGCTGGATGTGGCTCTGGGCAGCCTGGTCTGCTAGTTGGCGATCCTGCATATATCAGGGGGTTGATGAGCATTGTCGTCCTTTTCAACCCAGGCCATTCTCTGATTCTCTGATTCTCTGATTCTCTGATTCTCTGGTTCTCTGGTTCTCTGATTCTACGATTCTATGATTCTATGATTCTATGCTTTGCTTTACTCTGCTTTGCTATTACTTATGTCAGGAAGGAGGTAGAAACCCCTAGAATTCCTGGCAGTTACAACAAATTGCTTTGTTTCAACCTAAAATCATATTTCTCTGTGCAATATCTCAATCACTTTCCTTCCATAGAGACAAAGAATGGGTGCTGAGGATCAGTGGCTTTTTCTACTTAAATCCAGCCCACAGCTTTGTACATATAATTTTGTAATTTGACAATTGACCAGAGAGCTTTGCATGATGGAAAAGGACAGTTACCAAAGATTAATTGGCAGAGACAGCTCTGGAAAGCCTCAGCAGAGGGACCAGCCTGCGTACCTTGACAGGCTTCTGCAGGCAGGTGCAAGGAGCAGCGGGAGCCTCTCCTGGGTCTGGCAAGACTGAGAGATGCTCCAATGCAGAGTGAAGGCAAGAAGAAGTGTCCCAGGAGAGGGACATTTGGCATCTGAACCTCCTGTTCTCTCTTCAGCTTCAGCTCCTGCAGATAGCAGAGATGCTACCCAAGGGGGAGGAGGGACAAGCAGAAGGTGGAGTGAACAGATTTTTTTTCAATTTGGAGGATGAGAATTACAAATGGAAGGATATTAAAACAAAGGCTGATGGAGGAGAAGTGTGGCAGTTGCTGGTAGGGTGAAAAAAGTAAGCAGTGACCTATTTTTCTCAAGAGTTTTGGTCCCTGGATGATAAACGTAGTCAATTCTGTATTGAGTGAATGTAGTGTTTCAGTTAGATTAGTCGTGAAAAGAATTCCAGATTTTGTCATAAATATTTTTTATGACATTTGTATGAAATTCTGTTGTTTTAAAATCCATTCATGTATTTCTTTATCTGCATCTGCAGCCACATTTATGCTGTCTCTGCCTTATGAATGACCTGTCCAAGCAGATGGGGATATTTCCCATCTTCTCACATCCTTCCTTATTCTCACTGGGGATACTTTTGACTCCCTTGAGCTAGCAGTAATGCTTAGCCTAAGCAACGCTTATGCTTAATGGAGAAGCCTTTATTGCACTGGCTAAAGTGTAGGATTTTTAACATGTTTATTTGTCTGTTAGTTTAAGAGCTGGTTGGAAAAATGGCCTTTCCCTTCATCTAACTTAGGCACTAGAGGGCATTCCCGACATACAGGTTGCACAAAGCTTTGCCCAATTCCACTGCTGCAATGCTATGTTCTGTCTCCCAGTCTTCCTTTCCACACATTGTGCTGATCTATTTGGATGACAACATAGAGAACAGATTTGTTTTGTCAAGCTGTTTATACTTTGAGCCCAGAATTTCTTGCCAAGGACAATAAAGGTGCAACCTGATCAATGCAGCAGCAACACCAAATAGCCATCAGCCACTCTGAACCAAAAGAGAAGCAGATTTGTGGAAAGGAAAATTTAAAAACAAAATGAAAAACAGAATAGTTTTCATAAAACCTGGATCTTCAGATGGCCACCACAGCCTAGAAATCTCTGATGAACTTAGATTTCCCCAGATTACAGTGATTTTATTTTATTTTAGACAAAGAGGAGTCTTAGTTCTGTCAGAGGCTTTTGAGATGTCTTTGGACAATATATGCAGTAACCATACAGCTAGCTTTGCCTCTTTTTAGCTCTACTTGGTACTCAGGAGGTCAAGCACATTCTTACCCTGTTGGATATCAATGCCAGCAATACAGTGAGGACTATGAAAACCTAATCAGTTTTAGTTAAAGAATCTTAAAACCATCTACCCTAATCAAGAACGACACAGTCCTGAATCTATATGAGAAATCCACACTGTCCACCTGGTATCTGGGGAATCAATAAGGCTGAAAAATTATGATGTCAATTTCTGCATTTACATCACACACTGAAAGCCAATGCTGTTTATTTCATGACCTCTAAAAACTGTAGTGAGCTTATGTGTTTCCATTTCTGCCTCATCCAGCCCCAAATTATGGCATCTTGGAAGTGACATCTACATTGACGGAGGGAGGATATCTTATCCCACATAGAATTCAACCATACGGCAGATTTTGACCAAAGGTTATTTGCACAGAAAATGAGCTTCAAATTGATTTCTGTTAGAACATGAACATACATGGCAGTATCTTTCCCAAAAATTCCACTTGATAGCATTGATGCTTAGCATATTGAAGCAAGATGGACAGTGTCAAAGTGAAATCTGTCTCCTCAGTATAAATCTTTAGGACTCAGAATCTCACAGTAGAACAGTACAAGAACAGAAGCAATAGCTCAGAATCAAGAATAGGTTTGAAATTGGCTATGAGCAAAAGGCAGGGAAGAAAACTTATTTTTATCCCTGGGAAAAAAGGGATCTAACTGTGATTTACAGTAAAAATACATTACCATCAATTGCTGGCCAGCAATTGAAAGATTTCCTCCCTTTCCACTTCTTCTAATGAGTGAGTAACTGGCTACATAACTCTTTTTATTCTTCCCTGCTAAGACCCAAGAGTCACTGAGGACTCAGCTCTTACTCTCCTATACTGGTATCTTTCATAAGACTGCAGCTTAATTACGTCTTTATTACAGAAAAGTGTAATATCAACATATCTATATTTCTGAACAGCCTTTCTGTTTTTTTTATGTGCTCAGTGGCCCATGGAGATCTCAGATCTTCTCTTAGATTCTGAAAAAAATCTCCCTGGATGTGGATTCAGTATTTTTTTCTGTCTTGTGGAGTCTCCATTCTTGCAGATATTCAAAATCTTGACTAGACAAGGTCCTAAGCAACCTTCCCAGTTTGACACTGCTTTGAGCAGAAGGGTTGAATTAGAAGATCACCAGAGGTCCCTTGCAGTCTCAGCCTCTCAGTAGTTCTGTGATTCTGTGGTAATACATGCTGAGACCTCATTCTACTTGCCTAGATCTGTATGGACTTTTCAGGTTATAATCCTGGAAGGTGGTGACCTTTAGGATGAGCTGAGTGCTCTCCACATCAAGGAAGAGGGATCTGAAATTCCCAGAGCTGCTCCTTGCAGCCAGACAACAAACTGAGTATTTAGTGGATTCACCCGGAGTAGAAGAGATTCAGGGAGAGTTTCCTCCCTTTGCCTGAGGGGTTTGAACCTGCCTCTCCCAGCTGAATGTTCGAAGACCCCGTCAGTATTTGGTGAATGGTATTTAAACAACAAACAAAAGCCAAGAAAATATCTCCTGGGTCTGTCTATAATTTATCTGGGGAAAAAAAAAAAAAAAAGAAAAAGAGAGAAAAAAAAGATTTTGTTCATTTGTGTATGGGAGGAAAAGGGTTGTCTGAATAATATGCTTCTTATGGGAGTAAAAATATCACGTCTTTGAATCAGCTCCAGGAAATTCACAAGAAGGATAAACAAACCTACTTGCAGAGCTGGTATAAGACATTCATCTCTCTCACATGAGCACTTGGATCATCGATTAGTAAGTCAGCTCCCAGTACAAAAAGCGCAGATCAATGCTGAGGAAACTTCATGACCAAACAAATTGCTGGGAGCCAAGACATCTCAGAGCAAACTTCCATGTTGCCTCTGGTTCTGTCTGTGGCTTTGGGCAAGTCAGTTCTCCTCTTTGTACAGAATACAGATTATGATATTTGACACAGTGGATGAAACATGTTTTAATACAAGACATTTAAATTACAGTTATACTATATTGCAGAATTATAAACTCTACCTTCTACCAAGGAAGTCAGGAGTGTGACATTTGCTGCTTTTCTTCTTCCTGCAGGTAAATTCAGTCCCAGTCTGTCTAATTTTTCTCTCAGGCAACGTCCTCCGTTCTTAGATTTTGCTCTGTCAGGAGAGAGAAACTCATATTTACTGTGTTCTTTCTTCACCTACAAATGGTATGCACCTTATTGGCAAATGTGTGGAGTAATGCTAGCTCTGATTACATTGATGGGAAATCTGTCAGAGTTGTGTTGTTCACTACGTACTCACACTGTGTGAGTTTTTCAGGTTTATCTTTTAAAAGTTAAGTATTTTAATGCCTGTCACAGGGGCATCAGATCTTCAGACAGCTTTCAACCTAGTGGGACCCACGGCCCTGATTTGGGCACTGTACCTGGGATTGCAAAGACTGAATACAAATATTGACAGCATTGTCGGTTATACCTGACCTAGCCACAGAAGTCTGGGATCAGGAATCTTTGCCAATTTCTTCTACCTGGCTAAAAAAAGAAGCCAGACATCTACTCAAATACAGAAGTCAATGTGGAACCCAGCTTTAGCTATCCCTGTGACTGATATAGAGATCTGAGTGCTAAAGAATGTAGTCTATGAAGGCCAGCACTTACTAAGAATAGGGATGAGACAATAGAAAATGTTAAGGCTAAAATCCCAGTCATTTTTGGCTAACTGTACCCCTATCCCAGATGCTTACATCACTTTGTTGTCATAGAATGGTTGCTGGTGCATCCCATACCTGTTTTTCTGCAGTGCCTGAGAAGCATTTCAAGCTCATCCACTTATGCATCAGACTTAGGTTCAATTTCTTGTTCAGGCCTGAGGAAAATTGAACCTCTGCCTTTTAGCAGCCAGCTGGAAGTGCACAACTAATGTTAAAGTGCTAATATATTGAATAATGAAGTGACTGGAACTTTGATCTTCCCTATTCCAAATGAATGATCTGGTCATCAGATAATATAATCAGCACTACACTTACGCCTTCACTTTTACCCACAAAAGTTTAATTATCACAGAATGAGACTGTGACCCTAGCTTAGAATAATCCAATCTATTAAGATAGAATTAGGGGGAATATACTCAAGTTGCACCAGGGAAGGTGGATATTAGGAAAATCAGCCCCTGACTAAATTGACAATCACACCCCAGAGTAATTTGGAAGAGTGATAATTGGTCTGGGTCAAAAACTAATGGGAGTCATTCTAGCATTTTAACAAAAGAGAGAACAGTCACCATGCTCAGCCTCGTGCCCTTGCATCCTCAACAGCTTGCAATACTATTGATGAAGTCAATGGTGTGAGTATTTAAAATGAATATTTCTGTGATTCTTAGCTGACAGCATCTTCAGGGTGAAGTAAATAGCAGAAGAAAATTTTTGTTGATGTCGATTTTGGTCCTTAGTCTGCAAGATGGCTTGAGATAGCTATTAGACTGCTATGTATTTTACAATATAGCAGGTTGGATAAAATGATTTTCAGTATGAGTACAAGGATCAGTGTGGCCTTCAGTGACAGCAGTGAAATAGCCAATAACTTTCCAGCTAGTTTTGATCAAAGAGCATTTAAGTAGCTTATGCCATCTAAGTTGACGCCTCAGGGACATTGCAACTCTCATATGCCTGGCTGAAATACAGTTGTCTCCTTGTTTTCCACTTGTAATGTGAGGCAGTCTGTCTCTTTCTTCCTTTTTTTTGCTACTCTATGCAAGTGTCTACTCTGGTCAGTGGATGGTCAGAGGCAAAACTGCACCTAATTTCTTGCTTCTCCTTCAGCATCTTACAATGAGAAGAAAACAAAAACTGCATCTTCTGCTAACTTTAGCCTTTCCATGCTCAAAAGGAGAGAGAAAGTGAATGTAAGAATGATGCATCCCTAAATCTCCATGACTTAGGGATTTTTTGTGTGTAGTTATTGCTGTTTTATACTTGGTAAAACAATTTACTTTGATATAGCTTCTCAAAGAAGTCAGATTTACAATGCGGGTGAGATTTTCTGCGTACACAACTTTTTTTTCCATTTTATAATAAAGCAAACAATGCCTGTCTATCTCTGATGGGTAACAGAACTAAGAGAGTAAAATAAAATGGAAATGTAAGCTTTCTGTAAATAAAACAAAAGCAATCTGAATTTTTCCTTATTTTCACTGAAATTTTCCCCAGAAATTGTCTTCTTTCCTAATCAGTCTCCTTCCGCTTTCCCAAATTGCGACCACCTACCCAAGCAAGTTGAGAGAACAACATTTACTTGAGGAAAACGAAATCACGGAAATGACTGCAATGCCTAGTAATTGTTATTCTTGCCTTCACCTTACCTTCTCAAAATACCTCCTAAGAGGGAAGCGTTGAGGCATTCTGGCGGTGAAAGGCGTCTCTTCACCTCTGCAATGGTCACTTTGTACTTTGAAGTGGAGCTGAGTAGCGACAAGCGACCAGGTACAGAGCAGAACAGGTCGGTGGGGTTAACAACGCAGGTACCACCTGCAGTGCAAATGAACTGTTAGAGTGAGGAAATCTTCAAGTTCCCTGTTTTGACAGATTCAGTCTGCGAATCAATGGCATAGTGTGCTGTTGTTTTCAATATTGCATCATTTGCTTTGGGAAAGATGAATGATTACCTATTTCAGCACAGAAAAAACAAACTATTGGAACTCTAAGTTTTACATACAAAGTCATTATAGCTACTTCATCAGATTTCATGCTCGACAAAAATTACACAATGTCGTTGAAAGACTGGTATATATGTCTGGTATGGTAAAAACATATGATTGAACAAGATTTGAGTGTCACTCATGATTAAAAAAATGCAAATGGTTAAAAAATTTGAACATTGGTTCCAATGAGAAGCAATTGTTTTGACTCTTATAGAAGTGTTTAGGATCACAGGGATGCAAAGACACTATAGGCTTGCAGCAATTTGAAGACAGAACAGCTTTCTATGCCTTTTAACTCTCACATAGTCCTAAAGTCAGGTCAAATCCTCAAATATCGTTAATGATTGAAATCTATTGAGCTCCATCACTTTATCTCAGATTAGTTCTGGAACAGTTTACCTTTTGAAAGTGACAATTACTTGGACTGGGTCTAAAACTGCTGAATGATCACCAAATCTGTCAGTGAAAAATGTGATCAATAACTCCTTGGGTAAAATGGATCTTTTAAGTCAAAGCTGATTTCTGAGACAGTGAAAGAAAAAAAAAAACAAAACTTTTTCTGGATCTGATCCAAGAGGACAAAGCAAAAATCTTAAGGACTAGCACATATTTTATCACCAAGTGCAAAATGCTCTTCTTTAAACTGCCTTCTCCATCCTGACTAAAAAAAAAATCTGTGGAAGAAATAAATCTTACCACTGCATGCACATCTTTCCGTGTGGGAAAGAGGAGAAAAAAGAACCAGATGCATGTAACAGTGATATAAAATATTTTTAGTTCAATGCACTACTGCAAGGAGTTCAGGTGTCCTCTGCATATAAAGACCTTCTTAGGGCAGGATGACTGTGTGCACATTCATTCATTTTATAAAAAAGTCAGTGTTTTAAAAAATACCATTATAATTCAATTTTTTTTTTTCTGTGAACACCTCAAATTCTTAGTAATGTAAGAACTCACTTGTTCAGGCTTAAAAATTAGTTCATTCTCTGAAATTGTAAAAGGGAAGGGAAGGGAAGGGAAGGGAAGGGAAGGGAAGGGAAGGGAAGGGAAGGGAAGGGAAGGGAAGGGAAGGGAAGGGAAGGGAAGGGAAGGGAAGGGAAGGGAAGGGAAGGGAAGGGAAGGGAAGGGAAGGGAAGGGAAGGGAAGGGAAGGGAAGGGAAGGGAAGGGAAGGGAAGGGAAGGGAAGGGAAGGGAAGGGAAGGGAAGGGAAGGGAAGGGAAGGGAAGGGAAGGGAAGGGAAGAGATCACTCAGGTTAGACCCAGACCCAGATCCTAACAGTTTTTCTCCTTTTTTTCTGATCAAGGTGATTTTATCAGTTCTAGCTTAAGGAGAGCCAGAGGAGTGTAACACAAGGATTGAATTTTGTTAAAGGCAGGCTACTCCTTGCTTGCATAAAGCAAACAGAATTTCTCTCCAAAAATTTCAGATCTTGATGGTATATTTAAACATTTGCGCTGACAGCAGAACCAGAAAAGAACATCTCTTGGTATAAATCCCAGATGGGTGAGATCCTGACTCAGTACAGCAGGTTATTTTATGACTTTTCCAATTATACCACAGGATAGATATTCTCAGACAGAATATGCAGACAAATTGTGCATCAGCAAAACAATACAAGCATCAAGGGTGCTTGTGCACAGTTTTGCAGAGCTGAAAGTTGCAATTTATGAGTTCAGATGCTCAAATACAGAAATCTGGTACCACATGCCTGATAGATTTTTCCTTTTTTTCCCCTTATCTGAGGCAATGCTGTGCAGAAAACTAACAATATTTTCCATCAACATTTTCAAACTTCTAGTCTGCCAGGTACATTTGTGAGGAGTGTTAACGCTGAGTAGATTTGTTTGTTTGGCATCTCTTGCCACACTGATACACAAATATATATATGCACGCTTACATGTATGTGCCAAGAAAACAGTAGCAATGGTTACATATTTATTTACTTCAGTAAGACTGTAAATTTTATAACGAACAAGACTGTAATGGAATCAGTGTGATATTAATGTTATCTTCTTGCCAGGTTAAGTCAGTATGTGCACCATTTATGCCAGATAAATAATTGTTCCTTAAATCCAAAAACATGTTACCCTGCAGCTGCTCCTACCCGAACCAGAATTTACTGGAACACATCTCATTATTATTTAGTAGAAGGTTGTTTACAGGTTGTGGTGTTTGAGAGTATTTTGATTACTCAGTATGGTCTTAAACAAAGCAATTCCAGGTAAGTCAAGTATGGATTAAAAGTAAGTGAAAACAAGTCTGAGCAATTTGCTTTCCAGAAACACAGAGAGCAAGTTGTAAATTACAAGGAGGTAAAATCTGTTGCATATAATTATTTCAGCATATTAATTATTCATTGACATGACAACAGAGAGCGGCGTGGTGCTTTCCAGACAAAGCTATTTCGTGCTCGCAAACTGTGCACAATTTTAAAGGAAAGGCTCTCTTTCCACAGGTCCTGGTCTTCATATCAGATAGTAAACAGAAAAAGGAGCGACTGCGAGCAAAGATGCCAGCAAGTGAAAAGAAAGGCCAGGTGTAACTCATTCAAAGATGAAATACTGGAACAGTTTGTACAAGGAGGCTGTGGATGCCCCATCCCTGCAGGCATTCAAGGCCAGGCTGGATGTGGCTCTGGGCAGTCTGGTCTGCTGGTTGGTGACCTGCACACAGCAGGGGGTGGAAACTTGATTGTCATTGTGGTCCTTTTCAACCCAGGCCATTCTGTGATTCTGTGATTCTTGGATTCTAAGTTCCGAAGTTACACAGTAAAAATGAACTGCCTTGAACAGGGACAGGGAGATATTTAAGTAGCCAATACCTCTGCAAAATAATACCTATGTATTATAGGAACTCATCTCTGTCATTCTTTTTCAAAGAATTAACCATCAGTCTAGGAGGCATAAAGTTTTCTAAACTATACTTGGTGTATTCAGTGCTGATGAAGCTTCAGCTGGACAAAATATGTTAGTAAGGATGTCAGCCCAACAGCACATGTAGATACATGCAAGAGAAAGAGCACCTTACAGATACAGAAAATTTAATAATGAGAAAAAGAAAGAAAAGCTGAGAAGTTCAATTAAGGGAACAGATGCAGCTGCTCTTGAAAAAACTTCAGAAACTTGTTCTATAAACAAAAGCTTTCATAGAACTCTTAAGATTAAAATAGCATAATAATGGAAACATCTGCAGAGTTATTTGGGACACCACAATGAGCAAAACAAATATGATAACCTCTCTCATGGAAACTGCCAAACTTTTTTTGAAATGATCTGAGCTCGTTTCCTGAGCAATGGAAATTTCCTGTAGGACAGAACTCTGGGCAGCCTGGGTTAGTGTTTGGCGACCCTGCCCACAGCTGGGGGGTAGAAACTAGATGATCTTTGAGGTCCTTTTCAACCCAGACCATTCCATGATTCTATGATTATATGAAGGGCTGTTCCTTTCAAACACACACCACATAGACTCTTCCTTCCTCCATACTTCCTCTTAGAATGGAGGAATGATATTCTAAGCAAGCGCAGCTTAGTGAGGGGAGGAAGAGGTACGTTTATGTTGCACTGAACATCACTGACAACAACAAACTTTCCCTTCCCATCAACACAAAAATGCTGCTGTGGGTGCTGTTGATCAGTCCTTGCTCAATCACTCGGATGGTCTTGTGACAACTCGGTGTTGGAGATCTGCAATGCTGAGAGTAGCTAAAGAAACAGATGTCCTCAAAAATAAAATTTAAATAACGTACTTCTACTGGGAAGCAAACGTTTCAACCCGGAGATCCCTACTTCTCTTGGTAGATTTTAATTTCTTTAGAGGTCTTTACAGGCTATCTTTTGGTGCTAAGATACACAGGAATTTGTGAATTCATCAGAAGAACAACCCACACATAATCAAGACAAACAAATGTGCCTGCCATGTACATAAAGAAAGGAAAACTGTCCATTGCTTCCTGAGTTTGCCCACACAAATGATCCTGATACAAAGCAAGGAGAAAGAATACTGGAGCTGGAAAAATTGTCTAGTAGGTCACCTCGACAATTTCCTGCTGTAGGTGTGATGTGAAATGAGCCTTTGAGTGGTAAAAAGACTCTTTAAAGGACAACTGTTTATTTCTTCAGTGATTATATGCCCAAAGTGAATATTGGTCGCACATCATGTGTTACCACAAGATTCTGCACTAGATACAGCTGGAGATGGTGGTAGCTGTGCTGTTACAGCCACAGAGGTCTAAAGGCACCGGCAAGACAAGATTTAGAGGAAGACATGATATCTGCTATTTTACAACTGATAGAGATGGGAAATAGAAAGAAGGAAAGGAAATTTTCAGGCACACACCATCATCTCCAGGGCTTTATCCAGCTGTTTTCAGTTACTTCCTCTTCTAGACAGAATTTTACCCTTCGTTCTCAACCTTCTTGCTGATTTCATCCAATACAGTCATTTTGAAAGCGAAAGAATGGGAGAGGAAAGGTTACATTTTGTGCAGGAAACAACACATGGAGAAAGACCCCAGGCCTGCTTCTGCTTTATACTGAATTTCCTTGGCTACAGTGAACCTAAATTAATTTCAAATGTTCTGAGAAAAAGGAAGAAGGAGAAACTACACTAATTTTTATCAGCTTTCCTTTTTTTTTTTGTAGCTGACTGACTTTATGAATAGCACACTTTTGCTTTGTTTCCTACATGTACAATGAAAAAAAAAAATAAAAAAGGTAGGCTAAGTGATATTTAAAAAGATAATTGCAGCAAGTATTTTGAAGAGCGTTTTCCTTCCTTATTCCTGTATCCCCATCAAGTAGTTGCTGCAAAGTGCCAGTACACACTGA